TCAACATGCATGAAGTGCAGAGGTACAATGTGGGTGCTAAAAATAGATGCTCAGAGATAATAGGAGACACAATTCAAGTTCGAGCAGCAGGGAAGCCTCCAAGAGAATGAAAATGGGTTTGAGTTCTAAAAGATGAGTGGGCCTCTTTGAATGAAGGCAGTAGTCAGGGAAGAGCTTTCCTTCCTGAGGACGTGTATCAGCGCCGTGAGCCAGAGCTGTGCATGCAGCACAGGGACTTCAGTTCAGAGACAGTGCTGAGTGGAGTAGAGCACTGAGTTGGGACCAAACAGTAGCAGATTTTCTTATCTTATGAAAATAACTGATTTGCACCTATTAATACATGTGGTATTTGTAATTTCCCCAAAGATACATGTTGAAACTCACCTGTATGTTTAAATGTCTAGCTGTACAGTTTCTTACATCTTTTAACTCACTTAGAAGTGCGTGTAGTGACTTCAGTTTGAATTTAACCTTTGAAAAATAATTACTCTGACCTTCTGCAAACACAGCTCTTGTATTTAACCAGGCAGAATCTGCCTAGCCCTGGATAGAGACTGATGCCTGGGCTATTGTTTCACATATACATAGAAAAGAAACGAAAGATAGATGTCTTTGGGGAAGTTCTTTTTAAATTTTTATGTTTACATCTTCTAATTTGCTATATCACTTAAAAGGAAGATAAAAGTCTGCATTTCAATGGAGTGTAAAAGTTATTATCATGCTTATATACCTTATTTCTTTGATTATTTGGTTGGTTGTTTTTATATAGTTAACTCCTCCCCTCTGTGCGTCTTCTGCAGTTTCTAATCATTCACTATATCCTGCTTATTTTTATGCCTAGGTATTTTTTCATATGACTTATAGTTTGCCCGTTCACTGTAATTAACTGTATCTCTTTCCTGGACTGCTGCAGTACAGTACTTTCCTAACTGGTCTCCCTGACTCCCTCCAAATCACTCAAACCAATATACTATTACTACTTAGGAAATAAAGGTAGTTTGGATAATACAGAAATATTTTTCTCAGTTCTCAGTGGAGCTATTCTATTTGTACATGTGCATAAGAGATGCAGAATTCTGACATCCATACTCCAGATCAGAGTCGGTGGTTGTGAGCGTGGGATTTTCTCTTACATAGGAAGGTAATGAAAATGTGTCTACACTTTTCCTTAGACTGTAGGTAAGATTGAGTTGGAAAATTCTGAAAGGAGATGCGCTAAAGATTCTGTGTTTTTACCTTTGATAGATGTTTTGGGGTGAGGCAAGGGTGTCCGTGTAAAGACTTAGCCGAGTCTCATGTAAAACTCATCTGGGTGGCATAAATGGCAGCCATTACGGTGCTGGGTTGTTGTCAGCGGTTTGACGCTTTTCAGGTTCTCCAGTATACAGCTTTCTAGTTTCCTTTTCTTCCACTTCTCCCACAAGAAACCTTATCTCTAGCCAAAAACCTCAAACACAGATTTGGGTTTTCTCTTTGCACTGTTGTGCCAGATGCTGTATAGATCTTGTTTATAAATTGTAGCCAACTTTGTGGATCCCTAAGTCTTCATTCTCGTGGTGCTGCTCTGAAGCAGAACCCACCTCTTTACCAGGCTTCCTCTGACACAGCAAACAGACATTCTGTTACTTAGGCATAATCATAGTTAGTATCACTACTACTTATTAACTGTGGTGTCCTTAGAAATCTCTTGTATTTTACTTGTATTTTAGCTTCTCTGTGTTTTGTTTCTATAAGTACATCATAAACTTAGCAAGAGAAGACTAAAAAGCTTTCAGTACCTGCAACTAATTTGCACAGGTAATACTCTGAAATTAATTTGAGAGTCTGTTGCCAACTACAATTTAGACCTTTGTATAACTGTGATATCTGATCTATGCCTCAGTATTTATCACTCGTTTTCTGAGGTACACTGCCATACCATGTGAAACTTAAAATAAAACATAATTAGATAACAGGCATACATTTTTTATAAAAACAAAATAAATAACCACACAATTAAACAACTACATGATGGTATAGTTTAAAACCCACAGACCAAAATAGAGTTGATTGCTAAGATTTGTTTCCCATCAATGTGTTTGTAATCCCTGGAAAAAATGTACCAGTAAAGAATATACAATCATAGAATTTTTACTGGATCCTGTGATTACTGAAACATCATGGATGTGTTGGATGCTACAGCAAAACTATACTTTTAAGCAATAAGTGAAACTTAAAAATATACAAAATTTGATATAAGCTTTTAACCCTAAATGATTTTGAACATGACCTACTTAGTAGCATTGTAGAAGCTGGTTCCCCTGATTTTTTTAAATTAATATATAGAACTTTCTTTACACCTAAAAACTAGTTATATAAGCATTTGATTATGATATTGCTACATACATGTATTCCATAATAAAACCACTTGAAGCCTGACAAAAAGCACAACTGATACATTTAACATATACAGTGCATAGCATAGACGCATTTGGGATTCTCCAGTGGGTGGACATGAGGCCCAAAGAACTGTCAGTAGGGCCGAGTCAAGGAACTCTGCCTTCTGTTGCCATCACTAAAATATTTGGGAAAATGCTCTTTTAAAAATGCCTATCTGAAAATACTATTGATAGCAACACCATGTACTTTTTTTTTTAAGCTTCATTATGGTGACTCACATCGAAAAAACTTTATCCATGGAATCAACAACAGATGCAGGCAGATATTCATAGCATTTATATATAGGCATACAAATTTTGATCATTACAATATTCAGAATTTGGTTTGATTAGAAAATGGAATGCTTAAACTTTATTTCTGTATCAGACTCAAGGGAATCAAGAATTAAGCAGTAGTTTCTCTCAACTTTCCTTGTTCCTTAATTTATCCCTCAGAAGGGAGAACCAAAGGAAGCTCTGTAAAGTATATTTTGCCAGCTCAAAGATTAAGAATGGGAGATCCTAAAACTTTTGGCCTGAGAAGATATGTCCTCAGCCTTCTCCAGAGATGTCAGTTGAAGAACAAAAAGTACACTTACTTAAAATACTTTTCCTTTCAATTAAGGAGACCTAGGAAAATTTATTGATTAATCACTTTTCAGGTAGAAATTTTGATTGGTATTTAATGTTCTATATATTTAACCTGTACATTCAAGTAATACAAATGCGTGATTTTTATATTATAAAACTCCAAAGACCCTAAAGCCCACAAATTTTTGCAATTTGTTAGCAAAATCTGATCTGAACTGATTTGAAGCTATTATTTATACTTTTAATTTACCAACATGGTGTGAATAGTCATACTCCACTGCAAAATTAGTGCCTTTTTTAGAGAACTGAGGAATATATGTAAGATTTTTTGCCATTTTTAAATCTGAAAATCTTCCACTTCCAAAATAGTAAGTGTGAGGTAAATATGAATTGTAATGCAGATACTTTCATTGTAAATAATCTTTGTCTGTCAATAGTTCGTTTTTTTGTTTTGTTTTGTTTTTCGGTACCGGAAATCAAATTTGGGACTTTGTGCTGTCAAGGCAGCTGGTGGAACCACTAAGCTAAATCCCTAGCCCTATTGTAAATAATCATATTTGTCCTTGTTCTTTTTAAAATTACTCTACTTGTTCAGCTGTAATCTCTTCAAGCAATTATGGAAACAACTTTGTAGATTTATTTCATCAATGGAACTAAGTCCTGATGTGTTCTTATTGATTGAAAATATAGGTAAATTTTGCGAGAAACATACCCTGTCAGCCTTGTCACTGAATTTTGTATATTAAGAAGGGATCTCAAAAATGACAAGTACCCCAAAACTAAGGTGGGTGGAGCGAATGATCAAGTAAATGGCAAGAAGCAGAATATATTGCCAGTATACGAGAAAAATATTGAACATCACATAATAATCTCTTTAAAAATGCAAAATAAGATACTTGTGTACCCCAGATAAAGTTTTTAAAGCTGATAAAACTAAATGTAATCAAGAATGCTAGTAAATTAGCCATTAGTAGAGGCTTCTCATGAAGAAATTTGCACAGAATGTCAAAAGCTATAAGAGAGTTCATATTCTTTTGCCCAGAATGATTTCATTTTTTGAATTGATCCCAATTAAATATCCAGCATGTGCCACAAAGATAAATATGTGAATGTTCATTACTGCTTTATTTCATTTAAAACAACAAAGATGCTCATGAATAAAGACTGATAAATTATTACACAACTTTATAATGGAATAGAAATAATGACAATATAAAATGCCTGTAAAATATTCAAAATATATCAAGTGAAAAATGCTAAATTTAAAAAATAACATGTACAGTTTAGGTCATATCATCTTTATATCTAAGTATATATGTGTGTGTGGTTTGTGTTCATATCTTTTTATATTTTCAAAATTTCTACAGTGAATATATTCAGAATAGACAGACATTAATTTTATATTTTCTGGCACATATATACATGTCCAAAATTGAGTAACCACAAATATACCACAAAGAAAAATGTTCTCAAGAATCAGAAAAGTGGTATAAGCCTGTAATCCTAGCACTCAGGAGGCTGAGGGAGGGGGGGATTACTGCAAGTTCAATGCCAGTTACCTTTTATTCATGGTTCCCAAGTCTCAACATCTTTACCAGGCAGGAAGACCGAGTAAAGGTAAATCTTAACCAACAAGACCACACTTGATTATTGTATGATGGCAAAATGAAATGTGAATAAATAGCTAGAGCATTAGGATGCTCCTGGAAGAATAAGCACAATTGTTTGTAGTGCAGAGTGCAGGAAGGAATCAATCATGTGAACATCAGATGACAGATTGGTGAGGAAGCCATTGTACTCTGTCAGCTCTCCCTTGCAATAAGTGACTTGTTCCATTTATTTTCCCTTTCACCCACTTTGGGAAAGAGAGTTCTGTAGATTGGCTTTGAACAGAATGAGCTTCTGCTCATTGAGGAGGATTCTTGGTTTATGGAAAGTGGACATAAATATGCGCTGCTGCATACCTCTCTGCCTTCCTCTTCCCACAAACAGGAAACTGTTAAGGCAGCAGTAATAGAGGAGCAGAAGCGAAGTGAGAAGGCTGTGGAGGAGGCAGTGAGAAGAACAAGAGATGAGCTGATTGAGTATATAAAAGAACAGAAAAGGGTAAGTCTCTTCTGAAGTTGTAATCTGTGCTTCTATAAACGCAGGCAGGACTTTGCATAGAATAATATGAACTTTAAAAATGTTTAAAATGCCTTTTATCAGGTAATGTAAGAATCTTCATCTGCGATTATTTCCCTGATATAGTTATATATACTCTGATTTTTAGATTAGTAAATGTAAATTTTCTTCTGTCCCTAAAAAAGCAACAGAGAATAATTTCTTAGTGTAATCCTAGGAATTTCCAATTTAACGTTACATTCATGGAAATAGTAGACAGTTGCAGATTTTCAGAGGCATTTTTGCTATACATTTGTTAATTCCATATAATATTAGTAGAAATTTACCCTTTAAGCTTTCTGTGTTAAGCTTGCTCTGGATCTAATGAATTTCATTATAGTGAGCAAATTAAGGCTTTCTTGCCACAATTCCATTTCAAAAACGTAAGAGTATGCACAACAAAATTTAGGATATATTGAAGTTTTGTCATATTAATATGTGAGCCTGAGCAGTAGCTAAAAATAATATATTAAACTTGATTTGTTTTATAAACGTCTTTAGTTTTCTTAAATAGTATGCAAGAGTACAAGCACTTTGAAAGAGTTTAATCTCTGTGATAAACACTATATACTGTATAATAAAATATGCAATAGCACTTTTCACACTTCAGTACAGTATGTTTTATTTATATGCTTAGAATATACAATATAAGTACCTTATATATGTATAAATATATAAATAGATGTCATGTGTTCTATAATGTAACATAACAAACAAAGAGACATAGTATCTAGAAGAAATTTGATGAACATGAGGACTACTACATAAACTTAGTCACAATGTGAGTAGAGAGTGTAAGGTACCGTTCTGCAGGTGGCAGGTAAGTGTTGTGCGAGAAGTAAGCTTGTGATCCCACTTTATTCCCGTTCTCAACTTGGAGTCCCATTTGGTCTGACACAAAGAAAATCCCAGCCCTTATATCTCCCATTAGATCCAGAAAAGGAGAATTTGTCACCAGAGTTAGAGGTATGCTATGAGGCTCTTTCAGATCAATGCGCTACCCTCAGAAGCACATCGAATGGGGTTATGTCTGTGCATCTTACCCAAGAGTGTTTCTCAAAGCATGTTCCCAAATTCCTAATAGGTTTGTTCGTTTTGGGGGTTTGTCTCTCTGTTTGTTTGCTGTAGACCAAATCTTTAGAGTTTATTCATCTTGCTTTGAAGATGAAACTTTGTGCTTTGGGCAACTGATTGCCTTTTTCCCACTTCTCTGGTTCCTGGTAGCCACCACTTCACTCTTTGACTGTGGATTTGGCTGCCTTATGCCTTAGTTGTGCCGTACAAGTGGAACTGTGCAGTGCACATCATTCTGTGCTGGCTTATCTCTGTTAGCATGATGCCCTGAAGGTTCATTCACATTGTCACGTGTAGAATTTACCCCTCTTTAACCTGAATTATATTTTGTTGTATATGCAGTATACTCTTCATCTGCTGATTGACATTTAGGTTGTTTACATATACATAATATTTTTTTCTTAGCAGTATACAGCCAGTCCTTATTTAAGTTCTAAATCTGGGCAAGAGAAATTATTTAACAAAGCAAAATCATTTTTAAGATTAATTTATGCTAATATTTCTTTGATCAACGTGGATGAATTTTTAAAATCATATTACTTCCCCATCAAAAGGGAGTTATGTGAATGTCATGAGAAATACTTCATATAAAAGTAAGTAGATTTTTTTATCTAGATCGTGTATAAAGTAAATTAACTATTGAAGAGGTGAACTGTGCCATTTACTCTGCATGTTCTTGCAAATCATATTAATGGAGTGGTTAATATTCATTTGTGTCAGTCATATAATCCAGTTGTCACCTGTAAAGATTTTCATCAAGTAACTGCAGTTACAACAAAATCATAACAATATTAGGTTTCGGTTAAACCAATTTTTCACTTCTGTGTACTTGTCTCCTTATATGCAAAGGAAAATTAATACCAACCTTACAGAATTAACATAAATAGAAGAGCTGTAGTAAGGAGTGTTTGTGCTATATACTACAAAAAACATATACTATGATTATCACCTTCACCACATTATTAAATAATACTCAGAAGCCACTCATAGCATTATTTTTGCTAATTAAAAATGTGCTCTTTGGATTAGTGTTTGGCGTCTATGTCCCCTCAAATTTACAATATGAGCTCTAAAATTTTATTTTACTCTTGTCATTAATTCACAGAAGATTGTTGAATTCGCAGAAGTATATTGATCTATATATAAATCAGAAGATCCATTACTTCCACTGTGAGCATTATGGAATTTTATTAATACTGCATATTTGAAACACTCTTAATACTTGAATATTTCTATGTGCTCCAACAGGAAAGCAGTTTTTGAACAGTGCATAAAATATCAAAATGAAAGCACCAATTACTGAAATCTTTTTAACTTTTAAAAATAAGTTTCTCTATATCCTTCTTTCCAAAAATTTATTTCAGTGCTTCCAGTTACTTTTATGAAAATCTTGAGGCTAGGATAATTTTCACAAGGAAAAGTACATCTCAGAGCTTATAAAATAATACTTAGAAGAAAGAAATTATTTTAGCAAATTCATGTTCTTCTTGTCTGTTTCCAAAAAAACTAAATCAAGACAACCCATCTCTACTTCTTCTTTTGGAAGATGGATTTCTGTTTGCATCAAAGAACACATTTCCAGGACAAAAATTTTCCTTTCCTGTTTCCAATTAAAAAAAAACTGAAGTCAACTTAATATTTTCAACATTAGACACCTCAAAAGCCCTATATACCTCAGTTCCAGCTGGACTTAAATTCCAGTTTATTCTTCTCTTAAAAATTTCAAAACTTTTAAGGAAGAAGTCTAATGTTGAGTTAGGCTGTTTCTGTATATCTTATCTTAAAAAGTCTTCCTTTGAGTTCATCATGCCTTTACCAAATTCACTGAAAGTTTGAAATGAAAACTTTTTTTCCTACATCTTTTCCTTCAATCTTTTCTTTAAAAAAAAAAAAACAAAAAAGTTAAAAACAATAGAAAATCGAAATACTTAATTTTTCACATAATTTACAAAGTATCCCACAATGTTCATTGCAATAGTAAGTTTTTAATCATTTACCTAATCCTTTTCAGCATGAAAAATGTACTCAGAATTAAAATTAAGACTAGATTAAAATTAAAATTATACTGAGAAAATAGTTTTATTTTTAAAGAACATTTCCTTATTTTTACTTATCAAAACAATAGAGATGTCATTAAATTTTATGTATTCTTACCCTTCTGAACATTTTAGAAAAGGCAGAGTGGTTACTTAGAAGTACTAATTCAGTGAATCATTATTTATACTCAAATTGCATTCTAAATTACAAAGTTATATAATACTTGTACTACTAACCCAAGTTATGATCATAACCAAAGATGAATAATGTAATAAAAATATCCAAATAAGGAGAACATTTTAAATTATCAACCAGAACAGTACTTCAAATTAATGGGTCATTTCCAGTGGTATCAATGTTTATAAGAATTCAACTTGATAGCTTTTTTAAAAACTCCACAGTAAAATTTAGGTAAGGACAAAAAAAAAATTATTACAAATTTAGTAAAAATTGAAAAGCTAATATTTTGCAGCTTAGCACTCAAAATTTTCCATAGATTTGGTAGAAATTTTTATCAGATTTAGTCATGTTTATTATATTTATATAATACAGAAGAAAAAAGCAAATAGGAGAACCTTGAAAGATTAAAATACAAATCTGTCAAAGAATCACATAGGTCCCTGAAAGGACAGTGATTTACCCTGGGACTTTCTATATGTTACTAAAATTTGAATGTTGGTTTCAAATTCTCTTACATCACTAGAAATTTTAGATCAAAGGTTAGCTCATGGACCAAATCCAGCCTACTACCTGTTTTTTTTTCTTTTTTTTTTAAGTTTTATTGGAATACTCAGCCTTTTCCATTCATTTTGATATTGTTCTTGGGCTGGTTTCTGGATCTAGTAGCAGTTAGGTGGCTGAGAGACCAGTGAGCCTTATAACTACAGTAACTAGCATCACTGTCTCTCCAGAAGAAAGGTTATCAACCCCTATTGTTGGTCATCAAAATAGTCTGGGGAAAATTTCTTCTTCTCAGCCCTTTAACATTTTAAATTTTAAAAAATTATTGAGACAATAGAACCAGGCAATAGGAATCCATCCTATAGGTTCTTTTCTCTCTTTTACTATAAATTACCAGATTGAGAATTATGTCAGATATGTTATTAATGCCATGCACTCTATTTTGTGTGAAGGAGATTTAAAAAAAAAAAAAAAAACAAGACAGGAAAGAATACATCCCTGACAGTACCCTAGGGAGGAAAAACTTGCTCTTCACATTGACCTCAGGTCCTGGATTAGAATGAGGACTTCAAGCCACCCCATAACTTCAGCCTGTTCCACTTGAGCTCACTGTGAGGGAGGCGGTGTGACTAGCACTCAGAAACGCAACTACTCACAGCCGAGCAGTGATTCCTAAAACATAAAATCTCATCCAAATGTAATAAAACATTATCTTTGTTCCTCCTCAGAGACAGAATTATCGCCTCTGTTTTCTAAATTACCTCCAGGAAAATAACCTTCACTTGAGAGGTTTCTTTTAATTTAGTCTTTTAGAGAGAAGTAAGGAGCAATGTATTTACTTCGAAGATTCACTGGTCAAGGCATTGTCACAGTTTCCTAATTACAAAAGGATTCTTTTAATCCAGTTTTGCTGCAATGTGCTTGAGTGCTTGTTTGCATCTCAAACTACTACATGTTAAGCATTAAATAAAATGAACTTTCTCAAATTTCTACACGAGTTATTTAATCTTTCATTGTTCTTTTTTTCTTGTTTTAGTAATCTGAAAGTTTAGCTGATTGATAATGCCTCATATAGTTTTAAAATTCTGGTAAGTCCAAGTATAACATTTTCCTCGACAACTGATAAACCTCTTGACAAGTTTTTAATTCTT